AGAAGTTAAGTTACAGGGAGAAGTCAGTTTCAGGTAGAAATAAGTTATAGGTATAAGTCAGTTTCAGACAGAAGTCAGTTACAGGCAGAAGTCAGTTTCAGGTAGAGGTAAGCAGAGGTCTTTCATCAGCAAACCCTCACAGACTTGAACTGAACACATAATGGTTTTGGGCATTCCCTGCAGATGAACGAAGTCCAACTTTTCCACTTACTGAGAGGAAAGATGAATACACTACACACACTTAAGTGAAGCGGAAACAAAGTCTTATCCCTTAAAAGGAGACGGACACTTTTTTCGGGACAGAAAAGACCTTATCAGCAAGGATCTGGGCTAAAAGAAATTCCTCAATTGAGCCGAGAATTTGTTACCTAATCATTGGTTGAAATGGAATTGATTATTTTATTGGAAAATTCTCCTCCTGAAAATCTGACCAGTTGATGAATAGCTGGGTCATCTCCAATGATTTCACATGTTAGTCTATGCTTGGTGAAGATCTCCATACCAGGTTCCAGAGAATTTGACAAAATGGGAGCTTTCTAGTTTCCCATTTTCAATGAACCTGCCTTAGTCTTAACTGAGTGTTATGTGCCATGAGGTCAGCTCTGGCCCACAGTGGCCCTGGAGGACAGAGCAGAACTGTCCCAGGGTTTCCTAGGCTGCCTTCTCTCCTTTAGAGCTGCTGGTGGGCTCAAACCGCCGACCTCTCAGTTAGTAGCAGGGCGCTCCACCCTTGCACCACCATGACTCCGTGCTGTAGAGTTGGTTCTGACTCACAGCAACCCTTGTAAGGTTTTCAGGATGAGGCGGGTGGGTTTGAACCGCTGACCTTGTGGTTGGCAGTCCAGTGCTGACCTTACAGTGCCACACCAGGAGTCCACAGTGAACACTGGTGCTGGTGGTGATGTGCCGTGGAGTGACCCTGAACAGGGTTTCCCAGGCTGTAAATCTTTAAGGGAGCAGAAAGCCTCACTTTTCTCCCATGGAACAGCTGGTAGTTTCAAACTGCTGACCGTGAGATTAGTAGCCTGACTTGTAACCACTATGCTCCCAGAGCTCCTTCAGTGCTCACTAAGTAGGTGGAGATGGCCATTTGGCACAACCCAGGAATAAAAGCCAAATTCATTCAAGATTATTTCACAAAGAACAAAATCTATAAACAAAAATGCAACTGTTTGTCCTTCCTGGAGTGGTTATCAAGTTTTCTGGAAGACGAATCATGACGTCATGTACTTCACTCCTCTTTTCCCCCTCCAGGATTCAGGGAGAGGCGAGTTTTAATATAATAATGATCTTGTGTGCATTGGGGGCTGGAGACAAACAAGAGAGAGTGGAAATAAGGCCACTTCTGTGTTACCCGGTTTCTTTGGCACAGGCCCCGGTAAGCGAATCAAAGCTCAACTTTCTTCAGACAGAGGGGCTGCTGCTTCCTTGCTTTGCTGCTTTCCTTGGTGCCTGGCTTGGTTTTTAAAAAACAAACCTTTGTCTGGGAGGGAAGCCGTGACTCTAGGATGCTTCGAAATAGCACTGGATGATTTGATTCCAATGCATGTGAAACCTGAGGTATGTCAACACATGCCTGCATCTCTCAAATAACTCATTCATCTGTTTATGTGGTGCACATGGTGCTAACCCAGTTGACAGAAGATAGAAGAAAATTCAAGGCAATGCTGAAATCTGAAAATAAAGAGGACAAGAGCTGAAGTTTTCATGGAAAGAAATCTAAATTTGTCAAAAGAAGCTGCAATTGACAGTGGTAAGGATGATGAGCAGCAAGGACAGAGAGTTGCTGAACTGGAGGTGGGCATCTCCAGTGGGAGGAAGCCTCCTCACAGGCCACCTGGGCTGCCCACCACTGCCCAGCTCCAGAGGCACACTGCTACACTCTCTCTGTACTCTAGGCGACTGTGAGTCGGAATCAACTCCATGGTGGGCTTGGTGTTTGGTGAGATTTTGGGAAGCGGCACAGATGTAGTATTAGACACAAGCAACACCTGTCATACAGGGGCCAACCTGATGGGATACTCAGGCAGTCCAGAAAGACTCCAAGTCCCTCCTTCAAACTGCTGACCTTTGCTCTTGCTAAGTGAGAGAGACATGACGCCCTCTCAGCTCTTCCCTGAGCTCTGGGAAAAGATTCCTTCGTGATTTCAGTTCCTTTTCAGAGGAGTAGGCCAGTCCTTCAACTCTCTCCCACCTTCCCAGGAGGCCCTGTAAGTGTTACTGCCACCCAATCCATTCCTCTCTGCATGTACAAGTTCCATTGATCTGAAACCTCGCTAGCGGTATACAAAAGCCCTTGCTAAGCTTTAGGAAGGCTCAGCTGCCTTTACGAACTCTTACCCCGAACCTAACCATACTAACTGTTTGAGTCTTAATGTATCAAGCTCTTTACTGGGTTGGGATTGTTTAAATAAAAAGAATCATTCCATATAACAGCTCTCAAAACTGACAGAGAAATAAATACTTTCTAAGTACATATTCCAAGGTTCACTGATAGATGATTTTTACAGTAGATTTTTTTCTTCTTTTTTTTTGTACGTGTGGAGGTGGGGGAAGCTTGACACTTTAAACAGATAAGAATTGAAGGCAATAGTCAACGATTAATAAAAACATTTAAAGTCAGTGTTACTGTTGCCGTTAAGTGTCATCGAGTTGGTTCCCTGTAGAGGGTTTCTAAGGAGCGGCTGGTGAATTTGAACTGCCAACCCTGTGGTTCAAACTGACATTACAGTCCAGTGCTTCTGGAGCACTACACCGGGACCCCTTAAAATCCACAGGCACCAAAATAATTAAGCAGAAAACTTGTCAACTTCCTTCTTCAACTTTCAGACCCTCTACCTTTTATGTTTGATGTTTACGTGCGAGGCGGCTTCCAAAGTTCATGGAAAATGGAATGAAAAGATAATGGAATTTCCCCACGAACTTTCTGAAGTCCCTCATATTTCTAATACCAACGACACTGCTGATTTGCACACACATTTATACCTACTGGATCACAATTTTTTCTTTGTCATTTGAGGATATTGGGTCATTTGGGTTTTCTCAGGTGTCATTTTTCATGTGTTTTTTTAAAAATTTACATATTTCTTTTGTAGGAAAAAGGGTAGCAATAAAAACAGCAATGTTGCTCAAATTCAAGACATGTACACACACAAGACACACACACACACACACACACAAGGGAGTTCCAAAGGTTCATGGGAAAATGAAATGGAAAGAAAATGGAGTTTTGCACAAACTTTCTGAAGCCACACACAAGAACTCTGAGGGGTAACTTTCAGTTGACACAGGCGTGCGCCATGCTATGGTTCTTGCCTCAGAGCTGATGGCCTCACTCTCCTCCCCAAGCTTCCACACATCTTGCTCCTCTAGACTATGGACACACCAGTACTGGCGGACATGAGGAGAATCTAAGTGGGGTCTCACTACTTATCAGTCTGGGTTCCCCACACAACACAATCACCTGTGACCTGCTTATCTGGAAGAGAAGGGATTGGAATCGCTGTCCCAAATTTCACCAGAAGACGCTCGTATAACCAGTCAAAGTGCTTATACCTGTGGTTGACGGATCGATTTGTGTTCTACAAAAGAAGAGAAAGGAGAGGAGGAGTCACTCTGGCCAAGCATAGCACGTGAAGAAATAACCAAACTGCATCAAGCGATGTAAGCATGATTCTGGGGTACTTACAGTGGGTGTGAGCTGGTACTCAATGTAGCTCTTCAGACCGTACATCTTGGAACCTTTTCTGGGATCTGCTACCACACAGTCGAATGTAGAGGTAGGATAAACCCACATTGGGCCATAGTCGCCAACCTAGACAACATTCCAGGAAGAGTTACTTTTGTTACATGGAAACACAGGCACTAATGTTGATGTAGAAGAGATGGAGTAAGAGTCCTCTGGAGGCTCATTCTTGTTCCTCCTTGAGAAGTTAACATGCTTTGTGTTCCTCTCAGATGCCATAGGGAGAAGACACGTACTGTGGCAAACCCTCTTTCTCCCCCTGTGGGCACCTCAGCCGCTTTCCCTCTTGGGGTGTGTGGGTGGCACAACTTTTCTCTCTTAGTGTTTCTCAAGCTCTATGTGGTGAAGGTCTAGCTTGTTTTAAAACAAAATTCCAATCTATCACAGCTGATGCTGTTGTTGTCGTGTGCCGTCGAGTCGGTTCCGATTCACACAGGCTTTCCAAGGAACAGCTGGTGGGTTTGAATCACCGAGCTTGTGGTTCGCAATCCAGTGCTGATCCTACAGTGCCACGCCAGGACTCCAGGTCACAAGTGGATAGTTTTGTTAATATGGACAATTACACACTTGGATACTTTGACAATACCAAACTGCTGTCAAACTTTCTAAACACTCTCATTTTCTGCAGGCAGCTCAAGTAGACAAAGGTGTGCAGACGAGCAAATGGTCACAGACCTTATTTTGGTGACGCTGTTACAGCTTCTTACAGAAATGGCTTATCAGGTCAGCAATGGGCAGTCAGAGCCTCACCAAGACCAGGATAGCTGCTTCCTCGTGCATCTGCTTGTCCTATTTCATGTCCTATTTCCAAGTGTGACACCCACCTGGGCAAGGTTTGCCAAAGAAGGTTTTCTGACATTCTTCCTCCCCTGTTCTCCTCTGTAGCTGGGGCAAGTGTCCAGGCACTATGCACCAGACCTAGTTCTCTTCAACTTAGAACTGGCAGAGGTGGTGTCTAAAGAATGCATGTGGCAGGCAGCCCCTTGGCGAGCCTTGGGCTCTTGGTATGGGCCAGTGGCAGGCTAGTCCAGCCAGTCTTGATTCACATGGGTTAAGGAAGCTCAAACTGAGCACATGGCTGGTATCACAGGAGATACTTGGGCTCTGGTTTCATTCCTTGCAGCCAGTTACAGGCCCAGCATTCTAATGCAAACCCAAGGGTCTCCTCCTAGAATGCTGTGTTTAATTAGGGAAAACAAAGGGGACCAGCAAGGTGCTGCGTAGGGCTAAGCCTGATTCTGTGTTTAACTAGGGGTAACAAAGGGAACCAGCAAGGTGCTGCGTGGGGCTAAGCCTGCTTCTGTGAAGCACTGTAAGTGGCACACATCTGCTGCCCAATCTTGGTTTCCAAATATACCCAAGGCCAAGGGCGAGGTAGTAGAGGACCGTGGAGACCATGCCCCACAACACCTGCTTCATAAACCCTGGTTGTGACTGTTGATTTCAGAGATCCAGATTGTGGGGTGGCAGATTTTATCAGAGAACACAGAAAAAGTAACGGATGTCCTTCTAGTCTTGAATTGGAGTAAAAGATAAAATGATAATCCAGGAACAGAATAAAATGAAAAATAAATAGGTGGTCTGCAAATGGAACGCGACTTCTAAGGTAAAGATTCACTCAGTGATTCAAAGAGGAGTAAACACAATTCATTAAAAAAAAGTACAGTAAGAAAGTAAAAGGAACGTGCAGGCAACATGGTGATTGAGAGAAAGGAAGAGATTGGTTCCAGCTGAGATCTGGGAGGCACGGCAGATACAGCACAGAAAAGAGGAAGTACAGCCAGTACTAGTTCTTCAGTGTGGAGCCAGGAAAGAGTTGGGTGGGCAGAGTGTGAAGTTCAGAGGTCATGAGGTCAAGAAGGTGACTGACTGGCCAAAGGGGAGGACCCTGAGGACAAACTCCTCATAGGGAACCTGGATACAGGAAGTTCTCGGAAGGCTGTAGAACAGGAATGTCTAATTCTGCCTGTCCCCGTCCCAGGGGGCAGGCCTACAGGGCACCCAGACTAGCTCGAGGTCCTTTAATTCTGCTCCACCACGCTCCACATCGTGACAAAGTCCCTTTTCAGAAATGCCAGGGGCAGGGCCTTGGCTCTAATCCTGTGGAATTGTTTTAAATTTCATGGAAAGAGCAATAATATATGTGCAATATATATATTTAATTAAAAAAAGTCTGGAGAAGGTAGGAAAAAAGGAATCCTTAACCTAATCACTAAAAGAGAATGACTCCACATTTGCTTTGAAGGTAGAAGGAGAAAAGGGGTCCCTGTCCCAGCCCTTCTGCCTGCCCATAAAGCCTTTCCAGGATTTATGTTTTACAAACGTGAAAGGTTCCAGGTGAGTACACAAGGCTCTCCCCATCGTGGGTGACAGGACTAAGTTAGCGGACTCAGAAGACAGCAGGCTAACTCATCAATGGACAGAGAGCGGCGGGAGGCCTCTTGTCCAGAACTTCATTTGGGAATTGAAGCTCATGCTTGGATAGAAACACTACCAGCAATCCAAATGTGGGATGAAATCCAGGAGTCTGCTGTCACTTTGTACAACCATCAGGTGATAGTCTTAGTGATGGCATCAACTCAGCTTATTCCCTGGAGGATCCCTGGTGGCATATGGTTCAAGTATTCAGCTGCTAACCCAAACCACTAGCTGCTCTATGGGAGAAAGATAAAGCAGTCAGTTTCCGCAGAGATGACAATCTTGGAAACCGAGTAGGGCAGTCCTAGTCTGTCACACATGGTCACTGTGAGTCGGAACCAGCTCCATAGCACTGGTTATCTTGACCTAACAGCTGTTTTACTAGAAGACTGATTCTCAACAGAAGACAGGAAAAAGCATTTCATTCCAATCACATGCATATACTTTGTCATGGTTGTTGTAAGTGCCGTCGAGTCGGTTCCAACCTGGTTAGCATTTCCGAAAAGCTGCTGGTGAGTTTGAACTGCTGACCTTGCAATTCAAACTGACCTTGCGTTCCAGGGCATTATCCCACTGCACCACACCAAGACTTACCTAAATATTCTAATCGAGCTAATCACTTAGAGCTGACGGAAAATAGCATGCAAGATCTACTTCAAGATGGTCTACAAGAAAACAAAACTATTGGAGTTCTAGTGTGGCGCTGTGGGCTAATGCGTCAGACAGCAAAGTTATTTGAACTACAAGATTGGTGGTTCGAGCTCACCAGCTGCTCCTTGGAAATCTTATACAGGGTATGGGTCAGAATCGACTCAACGGCACTTCACAACAACAATGGAAATTGGATGAATTACTAATAGTGTTAAAAATATCTACACAATATAATGACAGGCATTAATGTATGTTAATTATCTTTACTACTTCACTTCTAAAATAATAACACATGCCGTCAGTTATTTGGAGCGTTAAATGCATTTGAAAAATACTTTCCAAAACACTAATAGTCCAGTTTGTTTTAAGTTATAATATAATATAATAAGAGTTTAATTAGAAACAAACCAAGCCAACAAAAATAAAGGCACTTACAATGATGGAAATCTTCTCTTTGGGTTTTGCTAGTTGCTTGGCCAACAGATATTGTTCTAGTCCAGGTTTTGCGAATCCAGGAAACCTGATCATGGAGACAAACAGTCCTGAGAGTGCTCCAGCTCTCTCCCACAGTCACTTAATAAAACCATTTTGACCTTGTGTTGTCTTTCAGCAGTACGAGAAGCAGGAATGGAAAGCTCCGGCAATCAGATTGTTCAATGGCCAGTCGGTCATTAAATTACACTTTCTCTGGTAAGAGGACAGTCTGACTCTGAAGGTGTGATGTTTACAGGTATTCTTTGCCTTACTGGGGCTGGAACATTCTATCACCCAAACAAGTGCTCAGGAAGAACAAGAGAACTGTCAGCCCGTTTGTGGAGGCGTGTCGCAAACAGCCAATTGAGTTGGCCGCATATAGGCACCACCACACACTGGCATGCTGATTCCAGGCTAGAGATGCCCTTCAGCATCGTCACTCTGGGAGACTTTCGCTGTTTGCTTTCAGATCTGCCGGTCTCCTAAATCATGAGACATGCCTCCTTTTCAGGCCCCAGAATGTAATAACACCCTGGGGCTTCTTCTAGAAACCAAATCTACACCCAAAGGAGATGCCAGGAATGTGACAGCTGGAATTGCTGTAGAGCTATTCAAAGTGCTACTTCTGAAGATAAGAGTAAACGGGTCTAGGAGTAGAGGTCTCTGGGACCACCAATGGAGAAGAGCCAAGAGCGGGACGCTACCCAGAGAAGCAGGGATGCCTGAGATGGAGACAGAGATGATGACATGGAGGGATGAAGCGGCTGGGGACTTTGGATCCAGAGAGGGAGAGGGACTGGGGGCCGATAACTGGGGTGGGGTGGGGGGAGTGAGTGTAGAGAACGGGTTTCTAGGATGTACCCTTTGGTCAGAAGATGATGCATGGAGGGGACTGGAACCATGGCAATGAAATGATATACGATGGAATGAATGTAAAACTAAAGTTCTCTCACGTAAACTATCATATAATTCACAATAAAACAATTTTTTAAAAAGAAAAGAGTAAATGGGGTTTTGAAATTCTTTTTTCTTATAAGTAGAAAAAATAATGAGGGGTGGGCTGGGGGGTAAGAAAAACGTCCCAGAAAACAAAAGACCTAAAATAAGAAATTTCTAAGCAGAGTACTTCTAAGTTCATGCATACACTGTGTTCCCCCAGGGCTCTTGGTTTCCTACATACTGGACTCCTGACCCCTTCTTTGCCAAGTCACTCCTTGAAGCTCAGCTCACACCACAGAGAACAGAGAGTTGTTCCGAATTTTTCCTGTGACATCTAATTAGCTAAGTGACCTTTTGAGCTTGACTCTCCTGGTGTGAAGAATGGGACCAATATGATTGACCTTCTGAGAAGGCTGCAAAGAGCTTAGAGGTCCTCCTGTAAAGCTCTATGCACCTCGGTCACCTCCTCTTTGAAGGTGTCCCTACAGCCTCAGGAGTGGCGTTCGGTGTTCATCCTGCATCTGCTACACCAGTCTTCACCTGTCACAGCTGTTCCCATTTACACTCACTCTGCAGCCATCCTGAAGAAACCAGTTGTGTTTCTAGGACCCCGAGGATTCTGGGAACATACTTGATGCTTCGTGAGTCAAGGGGCTAACCTGAGATCAGCTATCTGGTAGAAAAAGCTGAGGGAAAACTTGAGAGACTGACAGCTGCCAAGTGCAGAAATTCTACTTCCCACCATTCATTCAACATACGCTGAACGGCAATGCTATGGATTCATTCTCTAAATATTATCATATGATTAAGACAGAGTCTTCTTATGCTCAAGTATACTTAACATTCTTATTCCCTTTGAAAATAAAGGGTTGAGTCCATGACTGGAGTATGGAGTATAGTTGTCATGTGAAGCAGATTAATTGCTGAAAAGGGCTAATTAAAAAAAAAATTTTTTTTTTTACAACTGTAATAAGTTTCATGTTGTTGTTAAGTGCTGTCAAGTCAGTCCCAACTCCTAACAACCCTGCATAGGATTTCTGAGGCTTTAAATCTTAGAGGGAGCAGAAAGCCTCATAGCTCTCCCTCTAAGAGGCTGGTGGGCTTGAACTGCAGACCTTGTGGCTCACAGTCCAGTGCTCATCGCACAGAACCATCACGTTCCTCCTTTATACACTGCTGCTGTTAAATGCCATAGAGTCAGTTCCAACTCAAAGCAACTCTGTATAGGGTTCCCAAGAGCAGCTGGTGAGTTTGAACTGCCAAACTTGCAGTTCAAACTGACCATGCGGTCCAGTGCTTATCAGGACTCCCATCAATACATTACTTGAATTAAATTTTTTAAATGCCACAGGACTTTATATAGTGTCCATTCCCATAGACAGAGAGCGAAGCCTCAGAGGTTTAAATTCAAATTAGAACTGTGCTGGTTTGGTTTCAACCTGGAAGAAATTTCATAGCATAAGGAGTCCTTCATGAAAGCCAAGCCCTGCATTTTGCAGATGAGGAAGCTGAGGGTGAAGCAGGTCACTACTCCACCGAGACTGTACAGTAAGTAAGTGAGGAGGAGCATGGAGGGTGGTGTCTCCCGCTTACTGTCTGACGGTAGAAAAGAGGCTCCAGGAGAGTGCTGTAGTTTATGTGTGTAGGGTCTGTCCGTGCAACCGAGTAGGACACGGTCTCATGAAAGAAACTGGACAGAGGAGCAGACAACGTGGGCAGTGAGGAGGAATGCCTTTAATGACCTGACACTATTTAAATACACTGTAGGGAACTTGTAGGTAGGACTCACTATGTTTACATGCATGTAGCTCTGTCAGTTTGTCCTACTGTGGTGGCTTGTGAGTAGCTGTGATTCTGGAAGCTATGTCACCGTATTTTAAATACCAGCAGGGTCACCCAAGGTAGACAGGTTTCAGATGAGCTTCCAGATGAAGACAGACTAGGAAGAAGGAGAGATAGAGTACTTTCGAATATTTTGTCACTGAAAACCTTATGAAGAGCAGTGAACGCAGTTTGAGGAGAACATTAAAAGTACCCTGGCTGCCAGAAGAACAACCTGGAAGAAGTACAACCAGGATGCTGAGACTTCATCTCTCGTACTTTGGACATGTTATTATCAGAAGGGACCAGGGACCTGGAGATGGCTATCATGCTTGGTAAAGTGGAGGAAGCCCTCCAGTGAGATGCACTGGCACGGATGCAGCAGCAATGGACTCAGGAGGAGCAACAATGGTGAGGCTGGTGCACGAGTTTCGTTCTGTGTTCATAGGGTCGCTATGAGTCGGTAGCGATTTGACACTACCACAGTGAGCTCGAGGTATCTACTAGCTATCTAACAGGATGTGTTCAGTGGTTTCACAGGCACTTTTCTATTGGTCATTTCAGAAACGGTAACTATCTCCAGCAGAATTGCTGACTTCAGAGAATTTGGACGATTCTTAGGAAGGTTACAAAACGGACATCCTTCAAGCGGCACTGGTATAAACCAGAGACTTCTCCAGAACAGCCATGTTGAGGTCTGTCTGTAATTCCTCACACAGGCCGGGCTCCCAATCCCATGTCCTGTCCCCATCTCCTCTCAGGGGGCTCCCCCACGCTGTGTTCCACCCCCATCTCCTCACAAGGCCAGACTCCCTCACCCCATGTCCTGTCTCCATCTCCTCTCATGGGGCTCCCCCACCCCATGTTCTACCCCCATCTCCTCACAAGGCCGGACTCCCCCATCCCATGTCCTGTCTCCATCTCCTCTCATAGGGCTCCCCCACCCCATGTTCTACCCCCATCTCCTCACAAGGCTGGACTCCCCCACCCCGGGTCCTGTCCCTATCTCCTCTCATGGGGCTCCCCCACCCCATGTCCTGTCCCCATCTCTGCACACAAGCCGGACTCCCCCGCCCTCTTTCAAACTCACTTGTTTAGTGGCAGCTTCATGGAGGATGCTCCACCCCGCCCTCGATGAGCACCCCCTGCTTCAGCGGACTCTGAATCTTTAAAGTAGGGTGATGCCGACTTGGGGTCATCCCAGTCTTCATCCCACTCATCGTCATCACCGGTTGCTACAGTGGGAACAGAAGATCCAATACCGGTAAAGGAAAAAGAAAATAAAACAAAATTTTGGTTAATCTTGGCCTAGCCACACCCACCCACTGGGCAAATGGACAATTGAAAATGACGAAGAAAAGGATGCCGGACGGAAGTGAAACACAGAGGCCAAGAGCAGAAGCTGTAGTTAGACAGCTGAAGTTACTGACTCTGGACGTTAGTGTGATCTCCTGAAGCCTTGGTCTCCCGTCCACAAAATGAAACCCACATCTCACAGAACGGATGTGAAGATTTCATACAAAAACAGTTAGAAACCATCTATTTTTGAGTGCCTGGAAAATAGGAGATGGTCAACAAATTGAAATTTATCTTTCTGGAAGAATTAATCAAGATTATATTGTTGGAAAACAAATGCTTTGTTATTGTCATGTTTACAACTCAAATAATGACATCTGGCAAGCCATGCTCTGGCCCCGCGCCACACCGAAAAGGAGACATGGTGAAGCCCTTCACCTAGTTTACAGAGAAACAAATGCACTGCTGTTGGTGAGTGCTACTGAGTTGGTTTCCACGCACAGAGACCCTGCCTGCATAAGGTTTCCGAGGAGCAGCTGGTAGATTTGAACTGTCAAGCTTGTGATTCACAGTCCAGAATTCATCCTAAATTTTAAAATGGGAAGATCAGATTTCCACCCCTGCTCTAAAAAATCATGGGGCTCTAGAAGGCTTGGTCTGCTTTCCTGCAATGCCATCAATCATCGGAGCCTGAGGTTGCCCCTTCAGACAGACAACCAGATCCCTGCCTGGCCGGCTGTGTTCTCTATGTAGGAATCGGGCCCCAGCAAGTGTGTGAGTATGTGGTCTCTTGACAGACAGTCAAGATTGGACTCAGTTACCTTGCATCTGATCTAGAAGACTAGGTTTACCCCTCCTGAGTAACGAGAGCCATGCCTTGACCTAAGAGCACCCCATGCCCAGCCGGGCCCCTTCGTACCTGGTCCTTGGTAGGCCTGAGGATGGCCAAAGGCAGCGTCCCAGTTATTGGAGGCGTTTCTTTGGGCGGCGGCACCTTCAGGCTTGGCGCTCCAACCGTCAGTGCCCTCCCAGTTCCCGGATTTGGATGCATTCCAGGCGGACCAGGGGTCGTTGCTACCACTGACCTGTGTTGTCGGGGGTGAGAGAGAAGGAGGGTTTGTGACTTCTAGAAACCACCACCCAGTTAAACAGGAACCCCATGACAACAGAACACCAACAGAATTGGTCTTAAACAGTTTTAATTTTTAATACTAAGAACTGTCTAACACATAAACTAGGGGCTATTGTGTTGACCCCATGTGTGGTCTGGCGGAGATGCACTCGATCTCTGGGGTTTTGAAAGGAGATCGCCAGGCCTTTCTTCTGAGGTACTGACGACTGGTTGTGACTCCCCGCCTTCCAGTGAGGAGGATGTGTTTCACTCATTGTAGCGGCTTTTTAGCAGTATGTTGTATTTTTAACTAGGCTTTTAAATTTTTATTTCACACAGTCCGGGGTGGGGGTGGGGGTGGGAATCAGAGTAAAAGAAGAAGAATTTACTATTTGAAAAAAAGACATGCCTATCAATCACCGGAAGACCTAATTCACTCTTGCAAAGACAACTGCCCTTCTTCACAAATTCCTTGAGTAAAGGAAACGGCCCACAGACAGAGACCTTTGTTTTCAAACAGGTGGTGGTGGTATGCTCTGACCTTGTATAGGGTTTCCAAGGCCATAAACAGAGCAATGGGCCCAAATATCCCAAATGATACTTCCTGCTCTGAACTTTCTTTTTGAAGATAGATCCGCGCATGCAGACTGCATCATTCTTTGGATGACCCCAGAGAATTCCACTATATTTACTGCCCAGAACTTAAGCACCTTAACTGAAGCTCCCTGGCCCAGCCCACAGGATCTGCTGCTGTAATAATGCTGCAACGCACTCACGTGCACATCCATTCCCATGAACAGAGCGGCTGAAGAGGCTGTTTGTGTACAATGGGGAAAGTCACAGTGACCTTCCCACACCCACGAAGCCAAGTGGGGCAGTGCTTTGTATTTTTAATCTTACATAAAAGGGGGGCATCTATTCTCCAAAATTATTTTCAAAATATTTTTTCCCATTACTCCTTCAAGTACAAGGGGAATTCTTTTAATTCATGGAAGAATTCTATGATTTTTTCATTCCATCTTTCTACCATTTTTTAAAAGCCCCTTGTAATTTTAGAGTTTTGTTAATCATTATAATGTAGAAATATCATGTGACAGCAGACGACACAATTCAAAAGAACGCTGCAATAGGCGCTCTGGCTCCAACCCTGCACCCCAGCCTCCAGCCTGCCCACCTCCAGCCTCCAGCACTGCACCCCAGCCTCCAGCACTGCTCCCCAGACTCCAGCCCTGCTCCCAACCTCCAGACCTGCCCACCTTCAGACTCCAGCCCTGCTCCCAGAACCTTCTAGTGTCCACAGTCAACCACCCTCTTTGTGGTTTGTTTACTTGCTGATTTTTTTTTTTTTAAAACATAGAAATCTTGAGAACAAACAAGATGGCAGATCGGGTGGAAATGCAGTAAACATAGAAATCTTTGGTCTATCTAGAATTTATTTCAGTAAAAGAAATGGAATAGGAATACAGGTTAATTTTTTCTTGCCCCCAGTCTACTGTCCAGACACTTTTCCGTGCCAATTTGGAAGGTCACCGTTGTCACATAGGAAGTTTGGGTTAATTTCTGGACTTTTCTAGACTAATGTGAGCCCTGCTTTGGGGCTATAGGATAAGCACTGGACTGCTAACTGCAAGGTCGGCAGTTCAAACCCACCAGTCATTCCTGGAAAACCTGCACAATGTCTCTATGAATCAGAACCAACTCGATGATCTGAAACAACAGCTAGACTAATAATGTGAACTTTCACTGTTAGAATAAGTTGCAAGTTTTCAAATGTATTGTTTTTTCTATTGAATCACTTTAAATGTCCCCATAAATTCAGGAAAAAGTCATAGTACCTCTCCCCACAGCTCCCCTCACAATTAAGGTATTGAATCTGTGTATCCAAGACATGAACTAAAAAGTTTTCCCTTTTGTTCAAGTCTTCTCTCTTATATTTAAAAAAGAAATATACTGGTAGTGGTTAAAAAAGACAGGGAGAAACAGAAATTTGCACAAACTTACCCTCCTAAGTGTCTCACATGGCTCTGTAATTTTTTAAGAACTCTGTGAACTAAGTGAAGCTTGGCAGCTCATCAGTTTCACATCCAACAAATCACACACTTGTTTCTCCTCGGTGGCCGCCACCCCCTACTCCCCCACCAGTGTCTCAACACTTCTCCCACTTCTCACCTCTCCCACCCCACCCCACCCTCTGAACCGTGTCCTGGGTGAAGGCTGACCCTTCTATGGTGTGTGTGTACCTCTCCTCTGTTGTTGTGCCCTCTGTCTACCCACCCACCCCTGCCTGGCTGGCCGAGAACGAAGCTGCAGGGTGACTTCAGGGTGTCTGTGAGGTATTAAATTGCTATAGTGGCTGCCGCACTGTGGTGGCTCAGGGACATCTCAGATGCATCTAAAAAGCAGTCCCTGTGTTACCTGTGGAGGTGTGAGTTCACCCTAGCCCCCTAGCTCGAGGAGAAAGTGCAGTGCCTACTGCTGTCAGTCTACGTCCCTTAGGAACTCTAGAAAGCCACTTCATCCACTGACAGGGAGCTCCCTCAGCGTGCAGGAGAAAGGCTCTCTGCTCAGGGCCTGACCATGGGGTGAATGGAATCCTGCCTTACTGCATTTGTCTTTGCTGTCTGTTGTTAAGTGCCTCAAGTGGTTCAGACTCCTAGTGACCCTGTATAGGGTTTCTAAGGAGCGGCTGGTAAGTTTGAACTTCTGTCTTGAGGTTCAAACCAACCTTGTAGTCGAGTGCTTATTCGTCAGCAATGCACACACTCTGTGCTCTGTAAACTGGGAGGTGGCATTTCTAGGATAAAATTTCAAAAAGTAAGGCTGTTCTGGAAAATGAAGTGGCAAAGCATACAGACAAGGAGCCGCTGTCTGAGCAGGACCTGTGGTGACAGGACTCAGGGAGGGTCAGTTAAAGGGTGACCATGAGGCCACAGTGAGGAGCCTGGCCCAGGAGTCGGGCTGAACAGGCTCAATCCTAGCTCGATTACTTCCCAGCTGTGCCAGGATGGAAACCCAGGCAGACACACACCAGGGAAACAGAAGCAACAGAGGCAACACACTGGACAAGAACTTTTGGAAAATCACACATCTTACAGATACACAATTCAGGTAGAAGCAGGCAATGATAAGAACACTGGTCCACTGCGTGGGTTTTAGATCCTTTTATGAAACTGCTGACATTTGAATCAGGTAAATTTCATGTCGGTTCGGTGGCCAAGAACTTCAGCTCTGGAGAGCCTGTCTGGGTTTAGAGCCCAGCCTGACCACTTACTTACTAGCTGTGTGAACTTGGCCAATTTGCTTCACTTTAGGTCTTGACTTCCACACCTATTGCTGTTGTTGTTAAGTGCTGGTGGAGTCAGTACCGACTCATAGTGCCCCTGTATAGGGTTTCCTAGGAGCGCTGGTGAGCTTAAACCACCAATCAGCATGTTAATCTGCAGCACTACATTAACTCCTCCACACCTCACCTTACTTTCCTCCTGGGGACTTTGTAAGGATTAAATGACACAATACCTGGCAGGCAGGGGCTCATCTAGAACAGAAGGAAAAGAAAGAAGCGAAGCGAGGCACTCCTGTGACGGGACAGATTCCTACCTGAGTAGTAAGTACAACTACAGTTTTGCTATAGAGGAAAAGGCTAGACCTGTTTTATCACCGGGTCAATGTCTAATGAAGGAGATGACAACAGGCAATTAAGAGACTTCCTATTGGAAGCAAAGTTCTGTTTCCTTCAGACACACAGAAGAAAGAGGAAATAGAGAGAGGTTTCCCCATAAATCCAATGGTAATGCTCAGTCTTTACTGTGCTCAACATGCTTTCAATGCACAAAACGTTGAGCTCTGACTTGTCTCATGGCCGACCCCTGTGGTTAACAAACTGTTTACAGTGAGTTGGTTTAGCAATCCTTTGGCCCGACTTTTCGACTCTCAACCCCTGTCATCTCTGGGGTCACTGAACTGCAGACACATGTGTTCTGCTCTGCCTCCAAGGGCCTCCGCCACACTCCACCTCCCTCTCCCTCCTCTCTCATTTGCACTGAGCAGTACCTTTGTCCTTGTCTGCTCCTGCCTTTCATGTTACTGAGCACCTCCAATGAAAAGTCCTTCCTGAAACCTCCCTTCTTACGGCATACATTTGCCAGGTCTTCAACCCCAGACACCTGTCCAGTTCTTGCTTATCGCCCATTTTGTGTCACCTGCCCAGAACTCTAGGAGGACACCTCACCTAAAATAGGTCCCTTACTCGAGAGAAAAGATTCATTTCAGGGTTAGTCAACGATTGACTCCTTTTACCTTCAAGTTGGAATTTTACCTTATTTATGGAAGACGAAGGAGAAGGAGAAGATGAAGAAGGTGGTGACTGGCTGAGACTTTCAGTACAACCAATATGAGCCAAAATATCCACCTTAAAACAAGAAAGGTGCCCAGTGAATGGAAAAAAAGAGCGTACCAGTTTCTAATGAATAATAATAAAACAGCAAATTCATGGCAGGGTTAAATTCACCAGGGAATGAATGCTAGCATGCCACTCGTTCATAAACACTGCATGCAAAAACCTTCTGCTGTGTAGCTACAGGCTATCTGCACTGCACAAGTCTGTGGCTTCGTACTACAATACAGCACCACCGAAAACCACCAAAGGCATACAACACAGCAAGACCGGAACAAAGACCATGCAAGTAACACAGCCACTAACAGAAACCGCAGAGAACACCTTATAGCCAAGCTTTAAAAAGGGTAAAGAGGTTGAACTTCTTTGCTTCCAAAGTCACCAGCTGATCTGAGATCCCACGCAAGGAAGAAGTCAGCCAAGAGCAGCCAAGCTGCCCAGCCTGCTGGAAGCCAGCATGGGCCTGTCCTGAGCACTCCTAAGCCCAGGACAGGAGTCCAGCCAGCCTGAACTCCCTGAAACAAGTGAGTGCAGGGCACTGAAGTTGTGGCTGGCTGGTTGGGCAGCATCACCAGGGCAAC